TCTGTGTGTGTCTCTGTGTGTGTCTCTGTGTGTGTCTCTGTGTGTGTCTCTGTGTGTGTCTCTGTGTGTGTCTCTGTGTGTGTCTCTGTGTGTGTCTATGTGTGTGTCTCTGTGTGTGTCTCTGTGTGTGTCTCTGTGTGTGTCTCTGTGTGTGTCTCTGTGAGTGTCTCTGTGTGTGTCTCTGTGTGTGTCTCTGTGTGTGTCTCTGTGTGTGTCTCTGTGTGTGTCTCTGTGTGTGTCTCTGTGTGTGTCTCTGTGTGTGTCTCTGTGTGTGTCTCTGTGTCTGTCTCTGTGTGTGTCTTGTGTGTGTCTGTGTGTGTGTCTGTGTGTGTGTGTGTCTGTGTGTGTGTCTGTGTGTGTGTGTCTGGGTGTGTGTGTCTGTGTGTGTGTCTGTGTGTGTGTGTCTGTGTGTGTGTCTGTGTGTGTGTCTGTGTGTGTGTCTGTGTGTGTGTCTGTGTGTGTGTGTCTGTGTGTGTGTCTGTGTGTGTGTGTGACTGTGTGTGTGTCTGTGTGTGTCTGTGTGTGTGTCTGTGTGTGTGTCTGTGTGTGTGTCTGTGTGTGTCTGTGTGTGTCTGTGTGTGTCTGTGTGTGTCTGTGTGCGTCTGTGTGCGTCTGTGTGGGTCTGTGTGGGTCTGTGTGTGTCTGTGTGTGTCTGTGTGTGTCTGTGTGTGTCTGTGTGTGTCTGTGTGTGTCTGTGTGTGTCTGTGTGTGTCTGTGTGTGTCTGTGTGTCTCTGTGTGTCTCTGTGTGTCTCTGTGTGTCTCTGTGTGTCTCTGTGTGTCTCTGTGTGTCTCTGTGTGTCTGTGTGTGTCTGTGTGTGTCTGTGTGTGTCTGTGTGTGTCTGTGTGTGTATGTGTGTGTCTGTGTGTGTCTGTGTGTGTCTGTGTGTGTCTGTGTGTGTCTGTGTGTGTCTGTGTGTGTCTGTGTGTGTCTGTGTGTGTCTGTGTGTGTCTGTGTGTGTGTGTGAGTGTGTGTCTGTGTGTGTCTGTGTGTGTCTGTGTGTGTCTGTGTGTGTCTGTGTGTGTCTGTGTGTGTCTGTGTGTGTCTGTGTGAGTCTGTGTGTGTCTGTGTGTCTCTGTGTGTCTCTGTGTGTCTCTGTGTGTCTCTGTGTGTCTCTGTGTGTCTCTGTGTGTCTCTGTGTGTCTCTGTGTGTCTCTGTGTGTGTCTGTGTGTGTCTGTGTGTGTCTGTGTGTGTCAGTGTGTGTCTGTGTGTGTCTGTGTGTGTGTGTTTTGTGTGTGTTTTTGTGTGTGTTTTTGTGTGTGTTTTTGTGTGTGTGTCTGTGTGTGTCTGTGTGTGTGCGTGCGTGCGTGCGTGCGTGCGTGCGTGCGTGCGTGCGTGCGTGCGTGCGTGCGTGCGTGCGTGGTGCGTGCGTGCGTGCGTGCGTGCGTGCGTGCGTGCGTGCGTGCGTGCGTGCGTGCGTGCGTGCGTGCGTGCGTGCGTGCGTGTGCGTGCGTGCGTGCGTGCGTGCGTGCGTGCGTGCGTGCGTGCGTGCGTGCGTGCGTGCGTGCGTGCGTGCGTGCGTGCGTGCGTGCGTGCGTGCGTGCGTGCATGCATGCATGCATGCATGCCTGCATGCATGCATGCATGCATGTGTAACGCGCTAATGCACACACACACACACACATGCGCGCATGTGTGTGCGTGTGTCGGTATGTGTGTCTGTCTGTCTGCCTGTCTGCCTGTCTGCCTGTCTGCCTGTCTGCCTGTCTGCCTGTCTGCCTGTCTGCCTGTCTGCCTGTCTGCCTGTCTGCCTGGCTGCCTGCCTGCCTGCCTGCGTGCCTGCCTATCTTGATAGACACATGCGTGTGTGCATGCATGAATTTGTCTCTGCCTGTCTGTCCCTGCCTCTGTCTCTGCTTCTGTCTGTCCCTGCCTGGATGGAGAATGGATGGTGGGTCGGTGGGTACATCCATGCGCTTGCACAAATTGCTGAATCTTCTCAGAACGCCTGCCGCTCGCAACCAGGGAGCTCCCCCAGTCAAAGCAAGAATCACGAAGCGCTTTGCACTTCGGCAGCAAGTGCCACGTGGCGCGCTACGGCGCGGGGCCTTGTGCCCCAAACTTGCGGGGAGCTGCATCCTTTGGGTATCCATGCCTGGGTAGACAGAGATTGATGGGACAATCAGGTTTAACCCCTATCTAATCCATGCTTTGCATGAACCCGAGGTTTCAAGCTCTCCTGCGTCAGAAGGCCTTGCTGTAAAGATGATCAGCCCCTAAAGTGATAGAAATGGAGTTCCTTTGGGCGAAGGGTGATTTAAACTGGAAAACCCAACAATCGGCAGAATAATACAGCGGCACGGGACCTGTAGATTTCTGCCGCTTGGGTCACTCGAGGCATTTGCAGGATACTGGGAATGCAAACTCCATCAAGTGGCAGCAGCGGCACAACTCAACTGGCAGCAAGTGACCCAAATGGCACAAGTGGCGGCAAGTGACCCAGGTGGCACAAGCGGCAGCGAATGACGCAAATCGCAGACCTAAGTGGCAGACCCAAGCG